GATAAGATGGATTTCTTTTTCATGAGTCAAGTATTATGCACAAGATTTTCAATAAATATTGAGCGATAAAAATAATTGATTAAAAGCTAATCTTCACTGTTATTTAGTAAAGAGTCACGCAAAAAATGTAAGTTTAACTTGTGAAACGGTGAAAATATCCTTCAGAAAAAAAATCAATAGATATTCAACATATTTGGTCAGAAAAAAAGTGTTTTTACATTCAAGACACTTAGCCCTTAAATGTGATTCATTCGAGATTTTGTAGCAAATAAAAGTAGTTTAAATTAGGGTAATACCAATAAGTGAATATTGGTTTTTTATTGGTAGTCGCCTACTACGTTCGATTCAAATCATAATGCTTGTACAACTTACCATATTCAATGAGGAGCTTAGTAAAGTCGTAGTAAAATTCCTCCCTAGTGGGCTCATATACTGCAAACAGCAAATGCAGTGGCGTGTCACCAAAATTATTTCTCGCATTGACATTCGATCCCTTTGCGAGCAAAGATTGGACAAGTTCTTTGTCTTCATTTCGGACAGCTCTATGAAGGTCAGAATCACCCAAATCGTCGTCGTCATCGATGCCCCGCTCCAGTAGATACTTTTTTAGGCTACATGTATTCCAGTGTCTTTTGTCGTGGTGATAATATGTCACCATATAGCACTTGAGTGCTTTTAACGTAAAGTGACCGTGTGAATCTACTTTAGTCGCGTGGCTTAGCAGGTACTCGATAAGCCGCTGCAGCAGCACAGAAGTTGAGCTTTTTGCCGTACACAGACATGATAATCTGTGATAAATATCCGTACTCTTTATGCTAAAAAATACCAAAAACAACTAAATTAATTAATTAATATTTAATGAGATGAGACAAGATATATAATGCAATAAAAAAATGTTAGCGCCATACCCAAGGTCTACAAGCATTTGCATTAAATCGAAATCTTTGAGGGAAATTGCTTTATCTAAAAGCGTACCATATTTATATTCAATAATATTAGAGTCTAAGTTCATGTGTTCTATCAGAATCCTTATAACATTAAAGGAAGTTTTTTCTAGTTGATTAACCATCTTGATCAAAGCCCAAGTTGGATCAGCTCCACTTTGTATAAGGAGCTTGATACCATTGATCTGTGGGTTTGAAACCCATGAAATTGATTTGAAACTTATAAATTTCATTAAATGAGTACATACATGATTTTGTTCGATGGCCAAAGTCAGTGGTGATTCTTCATGAATTCCTCGTATATTTACATCCGCCCCATAATCAATCAGTAGTTGCATAATTCGAAATTTATTGTCAGGATGATAGGAGCTATTACAGACTAAATTTAGAGATGTCTGAAAATAACGATTATAGTCGTTCACACAAGACGAGTCACTGAAAAATAGAAAAACTTATTTAAAATTTGGAAACAAAAATGCATTAATCTTAAAAAAATCAGGCTCTACCTTTCGAGAATATCACGAACTTGGTCAACATCACCAGTACAAACTGCTACATGGAGATATTGCTTTTTTTTATTTTCCTCTTCCATAATTGTTAGACTTTTTTACTTTTCTCTAATCACGTTTCTCTCCCAAGTTTTTCTTATAACTTATTTATTGAAATTTCTTTGATGTTAGGAAAAATAGTGGTAGCACCTGTTGCGCATCCAACAGGCCGAGCACAAGGAGTCCCTGAGACTTGGAGTTACCAGATATGAAAACTACTATTTCTTTGTCAAGTGAATTGGTATTGAAATATTTTTAATCACTAATCACAACTTTTACCTGTTTATGTTAGTAGAAAAAAAAAATCTTAGGTTCGATTGTTAAAAAAAAAAAAAAAAAAAATACTAGTAAAATTACTTATTAAATTAGCACAAATCACGTAACTTTAGGGAAAATGAGACATGAAAAAATTACTGTACTAAACGAAAAAAGCAATCAATTAAACAATTTCTGGCTTTACTTTACAACTATACAAAGGGTACCCGAATCGACAAAAAAAAGTAAAATCACGTACGACACTAAAAAAAAAAATAAAGCAAAAGGTGTACAAGCAGTACAAGTGATGTCTTCCACCACTGGGAGAACTGTGAGCTGTGCGTGTCGCATAAGACACGTGGCTTTTACAACGATGTCATGCTTGAATATCAAGTTATATCGTAGTTATACCGGATCGCTGACGAGTCTGTAGTATATGTAATGAATATGTGATTTGACAGTTTAAACTTAAGAAAAAAGTGAAAATAATAATAAATACGTTTTAGACGTTATTAAAAAATTTTTTCTAACGAATTCATCTACAAAAATATTCATCATTGGAGCAAATAATCCTTTCCAATGGTGTATGTAAAAGTTGTGCCAATAAGTTTTTACCGCAAACTATTTTCATGTTACAAATGTTTGTGGTTACATTATTAACAAATTGAAAAAAAAAAAATTACGTGCGTACAATTTTGAACAAAAAATGTTAAATGTTATGAATCTACGTTACATAGGATTGGTATAATACAATGACGAGAAAGATACATTTTTTACTTAGAGATGATTGAAAAAATTTTAAAGTCAAATAAAACCATAGATAATGATAATATAATAATAACAAAAGAGTTCGTTGTTAACTACGATATCTGAGATTTAAATTTAAATTATTGAAAACCCGATGCTATTAAATAAATATGTCGATGTTGTTGTAAATATAAAGTGTGCGTGCGAGTGTACGTGTGATGAAAATATGATTTTAACCGTGACTTACATACTATGTGTAATTAATTGATATATTCTAAAACTGTGTGCCGACGTAGTGATTCAAAATTCTTATTTTTATGAATGAATTTTTATCGATAGTAAACATGTTAAATGACACAAATGGCTTAAAATAAATATAAAAAGCGATGACACAATGATATCTCATTTAAAGAAAAAAAAACAAAAAAAAGATAAAAAAGAATATAAATAATATTGTGAAATACCTTTTTCGAATAGCAATTATTCTAGAGACAGATGCTAAGTCGTATTGCCGAAAACGAGAACAGATAAAAAAAAGTAGGTAAAGTTCGACTAAAGTCAAATGGCGTTCGACGTACACTGAAAATGCACTGGCCGTTAACTGCTTTGTTTGTAATTGATAAAGTGACAATTTTTAGTAGACTAATAGTTTTGGGTTTTCTAATAATAAAGAGCAGTAACAACCTATACCTATTTATCAGCCTATTGTTGCGTTGAATTTAGGTCTTCAAAATGTAAAGTTGCTCGAATATTTTACAATAGAATTAAAAACTGTTTTTTCAAGCGTCTGAAATAATAAATCGAAATTATGAAAATTTTCTGGGATCGCTTGAAAAATTAATAAAAGTTATTATTCCTTGGAAGGTATTTCTTAAATTTAATCTTGATAAAAGACAGATTTCGAGGTTGTTTTTACAAGATATAGAAAAGAAAATGAACGTGACTCATATTACATGAATGTTGGATATTTTAATGCTCGATAAAGAAAAGTTTAAAAAAAACCGTATTATATTGCCAAAAGAAAGGAACCAATGAATATTCCAGATAATGTGTAACTGTTAAACTGTACGATGTTAGTCGTCGATAATTATAATGCCGTGAAAGGTAATAAAATGAAATAATCGACCCGCATTGTTTTAAAATCCAAGAGGGAGAAATGCATCTATTACTATATTCGTAGTGATTAAAAAATTTAACTACGATAAAGAAAAACATTTATCTGTGAAAAAGTTATTGCAAAAGTGACATGGTTGCAAACGAATATTTACAATTATCGTGCATGAAATTTTTTATATCACGTGTCATGTATCTAAAATAATCGTTATAAAATGTTTACGTACGATACCTTTGGTATTTCTATGACACCAGATTTATATCAATAATTTGAAAGCCAAGGTTTTTTTACGCAAAAATAAAAAAAAATATTACAGAATTAAAGTCAAAGAATCAAGTTATTAAATGATGATAATTCTTTGCTTTTGTTTCTTCTTTTCCAGATTCATCTCTACTTAAGACTTTGGAAATACATTCAACCATAATTGGTTATTTTTACGAAAAAAACATTAAAAATTCGTGAAAATCTCTGTTAACTTTTGAAACATAGTGTAAAATTATAACTATTTTTTAATGTATGTTCGATAATGTACACATTTTTTTCAGCCAAAAATTTCAGCATCAAATTAAGACTATGATAATTTGAATAACATTTGAGATGTAGACTTTTAAGGCTTTTAAGAAAAAAGAGACAGTGTTACACACAAAGCCTTGAATTTACAGGTTCTGAGTCGAAAAAAGCATTAATAATAATCTTAAGTTGTACGAAATTTTATTATTCAGAAAATAATCTTTATATTGTATAAAAAACTAATTATTTAACGTAATTTTTTATTAATTTTTTTATTTTAACTAAAGGGTTTAAATACTATAAACAAAATTTTTGCTTACTTAGAAACGTTAAGTTAACAACCCAAAGTTGTCAACCTGGAAAAATGGAGGTATAGTTTAAATCTATTATTTTGCAAAAGTCTGGAACTTGCATTAATAGGCTAAAATTAATCCTTTTAAAAAACGCCAATTCCATTTTTATAAACTAATTAGTTCGAAGAGCTTAAAANTCCTCCCTAGTGGGCTCATATACTGCAAACAGCAAATGCAGTGGCGTGTCACCAAAATTATTTCTCGCATTGACATTCGATCCCTTTGCGAGCAAAGATTGGACAAGTTCTTTGTCTTCATTTCGGACAGCTCTATGAAGGTCAGAATCACCCAAATCGTCGTCGTCATCGATGCCCCGCTCCAGTAGATACTTTTTTAGGCTACATGTATTCCAGTGTCTTTTGTCGTGGTGATAATATGTCACCATATAGCACTTGAGTGCTTTTAACGTAAAGTGACCGTGTGAATCTACTTTAGTCGCGTGGCTTAGCAGGTACTCGATAAGCCGCTGCAGCAGCACAGAAGTTGAGCTTTTTGCCGTACACAGACATGATAATCTGTGATAAATATCCGTACTCTTTATGCTAAAAAATACCAAAAACAACTAAATTAATTAATTAATATTTAATGAGATGAGACAAGATATATAATGCAATAAAAAAATGTTAGCGCCATACCCAAGGTCTACAAGCATTTGCATTAAATCGAAATCTTTGAGGGAAATTGCTTTATCTAAAAGCGTACCATATTTATATTCAATAATATTAGAGTCTAAGTTCATGTGTTCTATCAGAATCCTTATAACATTAAAGGAAGTTTTTTCTAGTTGATTAAGCATCTTGATCAAAGCCCAAGTTGGATCAGCTCCACTTTGTATAAGGAGCTTGATACCATTGATCTGTGGGTTTGAAACCCATGAAATTGATTTGAAACTTATAAATTTCATTAAATGAGTACATACATGATTTTGTTCGATGGCCAAAGTCAGTGGTGATGCTTCATGAATTCCTCGTATATTTACATCCGCCCCATAATCAATCAGTAGTTGCATAATTCGAAATTTATTGTCAGGATGATAGGAGCTATTACAGACTAAATTTAGAGATGTCTGAAAATAACGATTATAGTCGTTCACACAAGACGAGTCACTGAAAAATAGAAAAACTTATTTAAAATTTGGAAACAAAAATGCATTAATCTTAAAAAAATCAGGCTCTACCTTTCGAGAATATCACGAACTTGGTCAACATCACCAGTACAAACTGCTACATGGAGATATTGCTTTTTTTTATTTTCCTCTTCCATAATTGTTAGACTTTTTTACTTTTCTCTAATCACGTTTCTCTCCCAAGTTTTTCTTATAACTTATTTATTGAAATTTCTTTGATGTTAGGAAAAATAGTGGTAGCACCTGTTGCGCATCCAACAGGCCGAGCACAAGGAGTCCCTGAGACTTGGAGTTACCAGATATGAAAACTACTATTTCTTTGTCAAGTGAATTGGTATTGAAATATTTTTAATCACTAATCACAACTTTTACCTGTTTATGTTAGTAGAAAGAAAAAATCTTAGGTTCGAATGTTTAAAAAAAAAAAAATACTAGGAAAATTACTTATTGAATAAGCACAAACCATTTAACTTCAGGGCAAATAAGACATGAAAAAATTACTGTACTAAACGAAAAAAATAATCATTAAAAAAAAAAAAAAAAAAAAAAATTGTACTTACGGTCCTGACTTAACACGTTATCGTCTATTGTGTCTACAATCTCTGGTTTTACTTTACAACTGTACAAAGGGTGCCCGAATCGACTAAAAAAAGTAAAACTACGCACGACACTGCAAAAAAAAAAAAAAATTAAACAAGAGGTGTACAAATGATATCTTTGACCACTGGGAGAACTATGAGCTGTGCGTGTCGTATACTTAAAATGTGGCTTTTACAGTGATGTCACGCTTGACTCTGAAATATCAAGTTATATCGGATCGCTGACGAGTCTGTAGTATACGTAATGAGTATAGGTGATTTGACAGTTTAAACTTAAAAAAAAGTGAAAATAATAATAAATACGTTTTAGACGTTATTAAAAATTTTTTTCTAACGAATTCATCTACAAAAATATTCATCATAAATCACTTATTTGGGTTAGTCTTCCATAATTAATATAGTCGTCGTTTCTGTAAATATATTGTGAAATACCTTTTTCGAATAGCAATTATTCTAGAGACAGATGCTAAGTCGTATTGCCGAAAACGAGAACAGATAAAAAAAAGTAGGTAAAGTTCGACTAAAGTCAAATGGCGTTCGACGTACACTGAAAATGCACTGGCCGTTAACTGCTTTGTTTGTAATTGATAAAGTGACAATTTTTAGTAGACTAATAGTTTTGGGTTTTCTAATAATAAAGAGCAGTAACAACCTATACCTATTTATCAGCCTATTGTTGCGTTGAATTTAGGTCTTCAAAATGTAAAGTTGCTCGAATATTTTACAATAGAATTAAAAACTGTTTTTTCAAGTGTCTGAAATAATAAATCGAAATTATGAAAATTTTCTGGGATCGCTTGAAAAATTAATAAAAGTTATTATTCCTTGGAAGGTATTTCTTAAATTTAATCTTGATAAAAGACAGATTTCGAGGTTGTTTTTACAAGATATAGAAAAGAAAATGAACGTGACTCATATTACATGAATGTTGGATATCTTAATGCTCGATAAAGAAAAGTTTAAAAAAAACCGTATTATATTGCCAAAAGAAAGGAACCAATGAATATTCCAGATAATGTGTAACTGTTAAACTGTACGATGTTAGTCGTCGATAATTATAATGCCGTGAAAGGTAATAAAATGAAATAATCGACCCGCATTGTTTTAAAATCCAAGAGGGAGAAATGCATCTATTACTATATTCGTAGTGATTAAAAAATTTAACTACGATAAAGAAAAACATTTATCTGTGAAAAAGTTATTGCAAAAGTGACATGGTTGCAAACGAATATTTACAATTATCGTGCATGAAATTTTTTATATCACGTGTCATGTATCTAAAATAATCGTTATAAAATGTTTACGTACGATACCTTTGGTATTTCTATGACACCAGATTTATATCAATAATTTGAAAGCCAAGGTTTTTTTACGCAAAAATAAAAAAAAATATTACAGAATTAAAGTCAAAGAATCAAGTTATTAAATGATGATAATTCTTTGCTTTTGTTTCTTCTTTTCCAGATTCATCTCTACTTAAGACTTTGGAAATACATTCAACCATAATTGGTTATTTTTACGAAAAAAACATTAAAAATTCGTAAAAATCTCTGTTAACTCCTAACTTTGTTTATAATAATTCAAATAACATTTCAAATCTAGCCTTTTACAGGAAAAAAATATACATTGTAATCTTTAAATTCCCACAGTAAACATAGAATTCTCAAATCACTTATTTGGGTTAGTCTTCCAT